TTGAAATCACATGCATGTAATGGAATTCTGGCCAGTAAAACGCATGTTCTCCAGCTCAAACCCCTACAGAATTTCTACCTTCAAGTTTGCTAGAAAAGTTTTGTAGTGTCAGTTACTGGTACTTGCACGTCATATTTCACATAAAACATGGAGGAAAGAAGCACAATGGTCGCCTAAATGAACATTGTTTTTTTCACTCAAAATTTTAAAACTTGAAGTTAGATGACTCACCTACGAGGGTTCCAAGAAGAACTTGATGAGGAAAATGAGCAGCTATAAACAGACGAGAAATTGCTACCATGGTGATCATTAAGGTAAACAGTAACCATGACAATATGAAAATAAAACCATGAGATGATTTCTCTGGATGTTGTTGTTGATTAGACTTGTATCTGAGAAATGCTGTTATCATAATAAACCAGACAGAAGATGTGACCATAGCATGTCCGGATGGACTACCTGAAATAATCAAAATTTTTAGAAACAATATCAGAATAGTATTATTGCAACAGTACTGGCAAATATGCAAAAAGACCATACCCTGGGAGTGTTGATGTATGCAGAGCAAAGGTCATCACATATTTGCACCATTTGATCACATAATTTCCAGTCTTGCAATGAAACCTCTCAAAATTATGAAAACATTGTAAAGAAGGAAAACTTGGTATAACTGTAGAGATGTTTAAGTAACTGACAATGAACCAGTTTGGTAGATTATGCATCAAAAGTAATTGCAGCATAACCTATCAAACTAGTTCATTATCTCATTTATCACCAGGGCTGATTTGTTAAGAACAAAATTATTTCCAAAAATTTACCCAACTTATTTGGCAGTGTGTTTCTGATCACTAACATGGTTAGACAACATACTGGACAAATCCAATATTGTGGTTATGACCACATCATTTGTTAGAGGATGGCTTGACGTTGGGTGCCAATGTCGGACACAAAATTGACCATTGATATGGATATGAGTGTTTTGAATTGTGTTCTCGAAATAAACAGTAAGATACGGTATAACTTTTAAAATGAGAAATTAAAAATCATAGCTGTACACAGAGTTGTATACAATTTTACTGCGTGAATCTTTACTACTCACTGATCTCTAACTCAGATTTCTAATGAAATAAAAGCCAAGTCTAATTTAGTTTTGCTTGTTGACTCCCATGTGCGAAGCACAAAATGGGAGTCTTTGCAGTTAGTGTGTCTGTATGTGTGTGTGTATGTGTGTATGTGTGTATGTGTGTATGTGTGTGTGTGTGTGTATGTGTGTCCGACTGTTCCACTGCTATCTCAAGAACCATACATCGGTTTTTTATGAAACTTGGTGCATAGATGCTCTGGGCCAATGCGCAGATTTGATTAGGTTTTGGTAAAAATCCATGCTCGTTAATTACCTAATTTGCATGATAATTAGCTAATTTTTAGCTGTTCTATGACTGTTCCACTGATATCTAAAGAACCACTCATTGGATTTTGATGAAACTTGGTACATAGATGCTCTGAACATATGCGCAGATTTGATTAATTTTTGGTAAAAATCCGTGCATATTAATTACCTAATTTGCATGATAATTAGCTATTTTTTAGTGGTTCCATGACTGATATCTAAACAACCACTCATTGGATTTTGATGAAACTTGGTACATAGATGCTCTGAACTCATGCTAGGTTTTGATTAGTTTTTGGTAATAATCCGTGGATACTAATTACCTAATTTGCATAATGATTAGTCAATTTTCGGTTTTTCCACTGATATCTCAAGTACTAATCATCACATTTCAATGAAACTTGGTACATAGATGTCATACGACACTGCACAGACCTGATAGTTTTTATGGTAATATCAGTACATATTAATTACCTAATTTGCATAATTAATTAATTTTCAGCATTTGATATAAGTAGTTAGCATTACATTTCAATGAAACTTGGTACTTACATACTCAAGGACTATGCAGAGATTGATTGTTTTCGATAAATATTTGTGCATATTAATCACCTAATTTGCATAATTAGTTAATTTTCAGCTTTTCCACGGGTATCTCAAGTACTAATCATCGCATTTCAATGAAACTTGGTACATAGATCCTTTAGGACTATGCAGAGACCTGATTAGTTTTAGGGTAAATAATTGTGCATATTAATTACCTAATTTGCATAATTAATTTTCAGCTTTTCTACTGATATCTAAAGTACTAATCAT